AGTTATATACACATGTACAAACTAATTTTTTCCATTTTTAAATAGGGTCCAATGTGTGATCTGTTATGGTCAGATCCAGATGATCGTGGTGGCTGGGGGATTTCTCCACGTGGTGCAGGCTACACATTTGGTCAAGATATTTCTGAAACATTTAACCATGCCAATGGACTTACATTGGTGTCTCGGGCTCATCAACTTGTAATGGAGGTAAAATTATATTGTACCAATCAATTGAAGATTCAGTGCCTTATCTTTAGGCAAAAAAAGTTTATACAAAGGTTGTCTATGGAGGTTCTCAGTCATCCGGGTCATATTTGTCCCAAAGGTGCTTTTTCAGGAGGCAACTGGACTTTCTTGTTTTTCTTTGAAGACGTTCCCCTTCTCATCCAAGAAGCTTCTTCAGCTTTGACTAGATCAGTGTTTCTCAACCTTGACCATTTTAAGGCATGTGGACTTCAACTCCCAGAATTCCACAGCCAGCAATGCTGGCTGTGGAATTCTGGGAGTTGAAGTCCACATGCCTTAAAATGGTCAAGGTTGAGAAACACCGCACTAGATGGTGGGGAAGTACAGTTTATATGAAGGAAGTACATGTAAATCTGAAATGGCAAAGGTGTTTCAGATCTGGCACAATTGCACTAGCTGTACCTCTCAGCAACCATGCCTTTTCTTAGTCGTGTATGATAGTCATGCATTCCCAGGTAAATACTTGTCACAGCAGTTATACTGTATTATTGTCTCTTTAACATCTCCTGAACCGAAATGCATTTTTTGTAGTACCATGTTCGGCTATGCAAAATCACGGAAAAATGTAACTTTAAAGTGCTGACTGGTACAGTGAACATATAAATCTCATTGGAAGTATTTATCTGCCTTTGGATCAGAATATCACAACTTAGTATATATAGTCTCAGGATAATTGTTTTTTTTTCCAGTAGGTTAAAGGTTAGTATATATAATATGTATATGGGCAAATTTCAACTAATACATTAATCCAGTCCCCTCTTCAGATTTTTTAAATTCATTCACCAGTCACTCTTGTAATATGTCTGCAATTATAAGTAGCTTTATATTTTACCAATCTTAATGGCATAACTTTTAAATGAGTGAATTGGAGCATTTTTAAAAAAGATGAATGTGTTTAGTGCTTCACAATACAAACCTAGGTCAAAGGTTTATGATATTAATGATCTAAAGAAAATATTTTAAAGAATTTTGTAGAAGACATGTATAGTTATAAGATTTTCATCTCGGAGTGCATTGTTAATGTTTTACATTTCAATAAAACATATTTGCAAAAATTAAAGCAAGACGTTTATTGGATATCTCTCAGTTAAGTCATGTATCTTGTTTTATTGAAACTATTTTTCTCCCATTACAGGGCTACAACTGGTGCCATGATCGAAATGTAGTCACTATTTTCAGCGCACCTAATTACTGTTACCGTTGTGGAAATCAGGCTGCTATCATGGAACTAGATGATACTTTAAAATATTCCTTGTAAGAACCTTCAGTTTTAACAAAATATATTTTAGCAGAAAAATAAGACTGTAAAATTAACCCAGTAGGTTATAATTTGCAACAGAAAAATCAAACCAAATGAACTAAGGTAAATACTATCCAAATTTAACATGGGATGTGCACAAATAGTTACTAGGTTTTTAACTAAACTGGTTGAACATGTTATGTGAGCAGAGTTTGTGTAAGACATGACTGAGAACACACGAATTGAAATTTGCTGTTTTCACATAGTTTTGATTAGGCAAGACTGCCTTTTTAAAATAGGATTCACTAGAACTTAAAATAACAGAATTGGAACAGACCTTGGAGTTCTAGTCCAACACCCTGCTTGAGCAGGAAACTTTATACCATCCAGGATAAATGGTTGTCCAGTCTCTTCTTAAAAGCTTCCAGTGATGAAGCACCCACAATTTCTGAAGGCAAGCCATTCTACTGATTAATTGTTCTCACTGTCAGGAAATCTCTACTTAATTCTTAGTTCTAGGTTGGATTGTACCTTTTGTTTCAGTTAGTGTAAAATATTTTCTTAATGATTGTATTACAAATCAAACCTTCTCTTAATGCATGGTATTTAATATTTAGTCCTGTTATAAGGAGCTCAAAACATAGAAGGATAGAGTATCTGAAAACAAGCTGTATGTGTCCCTTCCCAACAACATCCTAAGCTCAGGTAAAATAGCTGGATTTCAGCATTTTTTTCCCAAGGACCTAGGTCAGGGGTCTTCAAACTTGGCCCTTTTATGACTTGTGGACTTCAGCTCCCATAATTTGTCAGTATGCCTGGCTGAGGAATTATGGGAGTTGAAGTCCACAAGCCATAAAAGAGCCAAGTTTGAAGACCCCTGATCTAGGTGATTTTAAGTTTGGAATGGGAAGTGCTTGTCTGAGCTGCCAGTTGTTGCCAACCCACCCTTAAACACCCTGTCTGCTCAAAACCTGATAGAAATGTCTCAGATGTAATTATTGTTGGCTTCCAACCCTCCTCTAGAGAACTCTCCTCAAACACTTCTTGTTTGTGGTAAAGCATCTTGTTACTCAAAACATCCCCTCTCTTAACTCATAAAAACTATTTTGACTCGATTATATGCATATAGATTACATAAATATAACATCAATATTAATATCCCTTACAAGCTGAGAATCACATATAAACAAGTTTATACGTTCATAATCAGTTAAAAGTAAAGGAAGTGGTTTTGTTTTCTTTCCACAGCCTTCAGTTTGATCCAGCACCTCGCCGCGGAGAGCCTCATGTTACTCGGCGTACCCCAGACTACTTCCTATAAACATCTCAGCCTGGCCTTCAGCAGTACTAGTATACTTGGCTTTTTTTAAAAGCAACAATTTATTTGATAAGTTGAGGTCTGTCTCAGCCTAAAGCCTCTTTATGGACCAAACTGTGCCAGAATGAGGATGAGCAGTTTTGAGCACAACGTAAGACTGACTTCACACACTAAACCTTTTATCAGTCAATCCAACAGCCAGTTTGCCTGCTGTAACTGTAGTAACTGGACTGTTCAGAGAGAAGAGGTAATTCATTTCTCCCTTTCTTGCTTATATGTACATTTTAGTTGTAGTGTTCAACTGGCATGTATTAACATTTTGAAGTTTAATGAAAATGTACAAACTAATGTCCCTCTTAAGCCTATTGCCCTCTATTTTATTGACATAAGTAACTTAACTGGAGAAAAGAAATCTCTTGGGAGTATATTGTCATAAGCTTTCTTTCCATTTAAACTAGGTTACTGTTCTGTGTTGATCCCTTTTTTCTGTATATTTGTCATGAAAGTGCTTGCATCTTATTGATGTATTTGAACAAATAAATCTGCAGATCATTATTCCAAACAGATGGATATGCTGAAATGGAATAATTTATCTGTTTGTGTTTCTCTTCAGCATGCATACAAATAATTATCTGCTTTGTTGCATAAGATAGATCAGGCGATAGATTATGACTGGAAATTGAAAGAACTTGGCCTGATATTACCAGTCTAAGAATGTGTATGGCAAACTTCACTGGAGACCTTAGCATATAGAAGTCTTTAATTAAATTTTCAGGCCTACTATCCAGATGAAATTCAAAATGAGCACTATCTTCTGTTCTTTTAACCCAATATATATAAAAGTTTGGTAAATGTAATCCAAGAGGGTAAAGAGTTCAGATTTAAACTAGTGAATTTAAAATAGTACACCTGAAATCTCAAATTAAAATCTGTTTTAAATAAAGGGGAAAATGATGCTATAAACTTACTGAAGAATTTAACTGAACATAAAATGCAAACAGCCTAATTCTCTTAACAGGACACAAGTGTAGCAAGAAATCATGTATCCCATTTAATTTAGCATTTGTAAAAATGCAATGGGACAAATCCCTGGAATGGTGTTCATTATTCCCATTATATTATACAGGACTTACGTTCAAATATATTTTAGAATTAATATTTTGAACTATAAATATTTTGTGAAAGTGAATAAATATCTTACTGGCTGTTGATTCAGAAATGCAGTAGGAATATATAGTTGTGTATTATTTAGCATATGATAAAGAACATGGCAAAAAAGTAAGCATATGCACACAACCTACTTAATTATATACAAATCTTTTATAGAGGGTTGGCAGTGGAAAAGTTGCCTGCATTCATAGCATCCCTTAAAAGCTATACGTGCTAAATAGGTGACAGCAATCAGCCCTACTGCCTCCTGGGCCTCACGGCAATAACAAAAAGAAGAGAGTATGGTTGTATATGTATCACCTAGGACAGACATGTCAAACACAAGGCCCAGGGGCCAGATGCAGCCCGCGAAGTGATTTCATGTGGCCCGTGAAGCCATCCTGGAAACAGTGAGGGAATGGCCCCCTCTGCCTTGGCCCTGGCCCAGGCCAGCTGGGAGCCAATGTACAATTTTGTGGTGGCCATCTATGCTGAAACGCATTCAGTCTTAGCTCCATAAGGGCCCCCCCTGGCGTGGCCTGAGAGGAACAGTGAGGCTCCTCCAGTGGACCATGCTTTGGCACTTGCCCTGGTCCCACTCCCTTCTGCCAGAGACCCTCAGATCTATCCCACTCCTGCCCAGGCCCCCACAGGCACCCTTGACACGAACAATGTAGAGTTGGCCACTCCCACCCAGTAGGCCACACCCACTCCCACCCAGTAGGCCGCACCCACCTTGGCCACACTCACCCGGCCCCGAGGGCAACCGCAATGCTGATGCAGCCCTCAATGAAATTGAGTTTTGACACCCCTGACCTAGGATGCAGCCATCTCCCCAATCCACATTTTTCAATTTTCATAACTAAGAAATTAATATCACTTAATAAGGTTATAGCTGAATGGGAACTCTTACTGCTATGCTTTACAGAATGTGATATTACTTGTACAATTTACTTCTTGTGATAAAAAGCTTGTTCCCTAATTTATAGTTAGGTTACAAATATCTGTACGTTGGTAATTTCTGTTGGAAACAAATCAAAAGAATAGTTGTAGGAAGGTACATAGAATAGCCTATGTATTGAGTTTTAATTTTATAGGGGGATAGCATAAATTTTAAAAAAACATTTAGAGTTTTACCAAATATGGATTAATAAAGTAGTGCTCTTACTAAACTCTTTGGGGCTAAGTTCTATATGGGTTACATTTGCCCTTCCCAATAGGCAGGGAATGGCATCTTTCACAATCCAAGGCTCAATAAACCAAAATACTAATTATTAGACAGTTTATAATTGCAGCATTTTCTCCATTTGTTCCTCTGTAGCCCAAAATGGGGGTTTTTTCTGCTTTACTCTTAGATTTTACTTCCTCTTTGAGGTTAAAGTATGATGTCATATGATAATTTACTTGTTATTTTAGCACATTTTACTACTGCATTCTCAGCAGGTCTCTGCTCAGAGGCTAACTAAGGTTGAGTCTGGCCAGTACTTGGATAGGAGACCACTAGGAAACACTAAAGCAGGGAACCTGAAAACAACAAGCCAGAAAGCAATGACAGATCCACTTCTATATTGATGCCAAAGTCACTATGAATAATGTCCAAAATGTCTCAAGGAATCAAGCGCAAATAAGGGGACTTTTTAAAATTTGAAATTATTGTTTTCAAGTATCATATAAATTACATCCATGTATATAAAGTTGTAACAGCAGAGTGAAGACTTGTCTTGAACTGCACAATTTTGTAAAAAAAAAAAAAAAAAAAAAGTAATTCGCCATGGGGAAAGCCAAGTTATGTACAGCTTAACGAAGCGTAACAAGTTCTTCTGAAGAAGTTGGATGAATAGCCACTGTCTGATCAAAGTCAGCCTTTGTTGCTCCCATTTTGACAGCTACTGCGAATCCTTGGAGCATTTCATCACAGCCCAAGCCTTGCATGTGAAGTCCTACCACCTTAAAAAAAAACGGTCATAAACAGGTTAAGGACATGGCTTCAAAAGGACTTTTTCCCCCCACATTTCACAGTTGCTCCTACCTTTCTACACTAGGAGCAAAATTTTGTATACCGTATTTTCCGGCGTATAAGACGACTTTCTAAACCCTGAAAATCTTCTCAAAAGTCGGGGGTCGTCTTATACGCCCAGTCGTCTTATACGCCGGAAAACACGGGTATCCTATTTTATTCCTTTACACATGTGGTTTGGCATAGTTCACTCAGTTTTCTCTCCCCCCCCCTCTCTCTCGCTCAAACTCTATATTTTAATTGGAAAAGTTGGGGGTCGTCTTATACGCCCAGTCGTCTTATACGCCGGAAAATACGGTACCTATAATTTTTTTGTGTTGCTGTGTCGTTTTATTTAAGTTTATACAGTCTTAACACATCGTGCCTGGAAGAGTATTAAATGCTGCAACTCATTATAAGTGCTTCAGACATGGAGTAAATATTGGTTTGATGTGAGTTAGGTTCAATGAGCCTAGCTAATTACAGTTTATGCGAGAAGCAAAGGCCGAGTGTGATGTACTTACACATTAAGTAACATTGGTACCTTCTCTTCCTGTCTCATTTCCTTACCTTGAATAGAATTTCCATGAAAAGCAATTTTAACATACAGCACCTTCACTCTTCCCTGATTTACTTACTTTTTCTTGTTTAGTAGCACAGACCAATTTCATCACACATTTTGTTTTCCTTTCTGTTACTGCGTGGTACATTGGGACGAAAGAAGTTATATAAATTTTCACATTCTCTTTTCCATAAGCATTTACGGCTTCCGCTGGAACAAAATGAAATAACATCAGATATATTTGAAAAAGCAAAGAATCACACAGTTGGCTTTCTATCTAATCAAATGTGGATAGTATGTACATCTCAAAAGAAATAAATATTGACAAGTTTGGTGATAGGTGAGCTGGTGTCCTTCACATATGGCTCAATCAAGCACGTCAGTGGTTCTAATTATGAAAAAACTTGTCCAAAAGCCTTTGAAGATCATTAGTTTACCAATTGCGGGTCTATTACGTGTGTCACATCTTAGGGTTTGATGTGCAGTTTGTTTATTTAAAAAAAACGAAACAAAACACCAAGCTTGATATCACAGTTTGTAACTTCAGCTTTAGAAATCCTATGAATAGAGGCGCTTTACTCATACTTCCCATTAAATGTTTTAAAATGTTTAAACAATAAAATAGATAGCATGATGGATAGCAGTATTCTGAACTTGGGGAATGCTTTCTAATATAAAGAGAAACAAGAAGAATGTGTGATCATCCCCAATTCAGCTTTTTTCTTCTTCTTTTGTTCAGTTGGCCCAATTCTCAAACTACCTGCACAAGATCCTGCAGTTTTCTTCACAAGGTTTTTCAGAAGTGGCTTGTCATTTCTCTTCCCTTGTTCCGAGGGCTGAGAGAAAGTGACTTGTTCAAGGTGATCCAACTGGTTTTGTGCCTAAGGCAGGACTAGAACTCACAGTCTCCCAGTTTCTAGCCTAATGCCTTAACCCAGGGGTAGGCAACCTTGGCTCTTTTATGACTCGTGGACTTCAACTCCCAGAATTCCTGAGCCAGCCATGCTGAGGGGAAAGAAAGAGGTTTCCATGCTTAGCCATGCTGGCTCAGGAATTCTGGGAGTTGAAGTCCACAAGTCATAAAAGAGCCAAGGTTGCCTACCCCTGCCTTAACTGCTACACCAAACTGGTTCTGTCCGTAGTCCATAATTTATATTACTCTATCAGAGGTAGGAGTGACCTGTGCATCTACAGCATCAGTAATACAAATGAACATAAGTAGAATTTCTATCAACACCCTGTTAATATAAAAATTCAGAGCTGACACATCCTTACCAAGCCACTCTTTACAGAGAATGTCCCAAAGGAAATCCACTCTCCGTATATTATTCAACCCAATTCCAATCAGTCACAAAATCCAAAGATAATAGGGGTAGCTCATCTTAGTAACAGTTCTATTTCACTTATATTTCTCTCTGCTCTTTCCCCCCCCCCCCAATGAATAAGAAACAAGAGCCTACCTTCTGTTAGTCCCACTGTTCCAATAGGTGGATGACTGAAAACCACAGTCGGAATGTTGGTATAGTCAAGTTTAAAATCCTTTTTATTTTCAAAAAGCCTATGTGCCAGTTTTCTTCCAGCTGCAATTGCAACTGAAAAATGCAATATTTATTGTCATAATAATTCATTCCATACATTTTACTACATAGCGTTTGTAGGTGGTCACGCCACACTTCCCACGTCTTCACAGCCCTTCCTCACCCATTTCGCTTTGTTCCATTTTACAATCCCAAATGCGCTTATTTGATATAGTCCTTAAAACATTGTTACCTGGTGTGAGGAGTGCTTTCCCACATACATCTCCAACAGCATAGACCCCCTTTCTGCTGGTATTTTGGAAGTCGTCAACAATAATATGGCCTTCCTTGTCTACCTTAATATTCTGATAGTAGGAAGAAAAATTAAAGTCAAAGCTGGCATCCTAAGAAATACTATCCAAGATACAAATTGAACAGGAGGGTATCAGCTTTTTTAGTGCCCTTATAAAGGAAAAGAAAGAAATTATTTCAAAGAGTAAACAAGCACTCGGCCTATCCATAGTGTCAAGAGCTTTGGGGGAAAAAATAACATTTCCATAAACATTTTTCAAGCAAACTAAACCTATCTAAGCAATATGAACATTTAGGTTAGGATAAGATTATCATGGGGCATAGGGTGGGAAGCTGAGTCATGAATTATCAACAGTCTTTGCCCTCCTTCCCCTCAATGTTTCAGTATGCCACCCAGAGTTTCCTCATTTGTTACATTTGTTCTCTGTAGTAGGAAAAAATACAGAATAGCAAGTAGCATCAAGGTAAGAAAAAAAAATAGCATCCCATTGTCACCTGTGGCTACTTTCTCCAGTTGACCTTAGCCACATTATGCCAATTGTAATATAATCTGGATTGTGTATGCCATGCATTTAACATTCCATACAGTGTCAAGAAACAAAATTCCCACTTACCAATTGGTCAAAGTTTAGCTCCTCAGTATTGGGCTCTCTACCGATGGCCCACAAGAGACAATCAACATTCTCAATAGTGTTCACAGTGGGTTTTTGATTAGGAAAAGAGGATGTAACCGTTATTGCCAAGAGTCCCGAAGGTGATTTTGTAACTGATTGAATCTGTTGAGAAACAAGATTACTGAAGAATGCTAGAGCAAGATCACGCAACAAATTGTTCATTTTAAGGCTCAAACCCTAGTTTTCTTCTTCAAAAATACCCTTGTTGCTAAATACCTAGGTCAGGGGTAGGCAACCTTGGCTCTTTTATGACTCGTGGACTTCAATTCCCAGAATTCCTGAGCCAGCCATGCTGGCTCGGGAATTGAAGTCCACGAGTCATAACAGAGCCAAGGTTGCCTACCCCTGGCCTAGGTGTTGTGAAGTTACATATACCTTATGGCTAGAATTAGATAGTACTGGTAGTCCTTGACGTACTACCTCATCTGGGACCACAATTTCTGTTGCTAAGCAAGGTGTTAAGTGAGCCAACCTAATTTTATGACCTTTTTGCCATAATTGTTAAGCAAGTCACTGCAATTAAGTGAAACACACAATCATTAAGCCAATCCAGCCTTTTCCATTGATTTTGCTTATTGGAAGCTGGCTGGGAAGATCACAGATGGTGATCACACGACCCTGGGATGCTGCAACTGTCATAAATATATGCCAGTTTCCAAGATCCTTAATTTTGGTCATGTGACCGTAGGGATGCTGCAACAGTCGTAAGTACGAAAACTGGTTGTCACTTCTTTTAGTGTCATTGTAACTTCAAAGAGTCACTGAATGGTTTTAAGTCAAGGAGTACCTGTATGCAGTTTTGTTGAGAGACCCCACTTTCATGTGAAGAAAAAGAGCAAAGGTAAGTATAATGGCTGCTGAAGTTTTGAAATGCCAGAAGGGGCGCAGATATGTTTACTGAGGTCAGAGGATAAGGCTCAAATATCCTGCATTGCTGTCATGAAAAATTATAATTACCTAGTGAAGAACCATCACTATGTGTGAAGTGCAAAACCTGCTCAGTTGCCAGTATTTGTTATCTAATTTCTCTTTAAAAATACTCCTTTTTTTAAAGTATGCTCAAAAATGCCTAAACTAAATGATAAATCTATTTGGCAGGATTGGTTTTTTTTATGCTTCTATAATGTCCAGGGTTTTTTAAATCTGATTCTCAAATGAAATAATGTTGATTGGTCGGTATTTTAAATTGGAAGACTGTTTTGGATACAAAGTTTATGGCCTTGAAATGGAATTTTACTGTAATGTTATTATTATATATCAATCAATTAGATCTTTGTTATAGTTTTTAACCAGTATAAAATAGGAAGTAAACAAAACTTTGACATAAAATCCTGTTGGCAACATCCAGATAAAACTCAGGTCCTAAATAACTTGTCACTACCTCAATTCTTACAAAGCAATTTGACAGTGAGTAATACAGGTTATTAATATGTAATCCTGATTACAATGCAATACTCCTTTCAATCTGTTCAGGAATGCTGCGAAAGCTATCAATACAATAGCTGTGGTTCGTTCATGAGAAAGAAAACCCATATGCATGGTGATGATTTGTTTTTCCTTTCTCTCAAATGGCAGCATTTGGATCATTTATACATGTGCTCAGAAGAATAAAGCTAAACAAAATTGGAAAAACTTATATTGTTTTGAAACTGTTAAAGCAATAGAACATAACGAAATGGGAGCTTCCAACTGAAGTTGGAACGACTTAGCTGCAATTGAAGAAAAATTATGCATACAGGCAATCCTCGAATTACAACCATTCATTCAGTGATCACTCAAAATTGCACCAAAGGTGGTGCTGAAAAAATGGTAATTCCACATGGTCCGTGTAGTTACAGCTGTTGCAGTGCTCCCATGGTCAAGAAATCAAAATTTGGGCACTTGAAAATTCACCAACACTTACGACTGCAGGGGCAGCTCAACTGACCCCATCTGTCCTTTTAGCTGCCCTATGCTCTGCTGGCCATGCCAGCCAGCCTACCACTCCTGCTGCCCTACACTTGCTGCCCAGTCTTGATGACTTTCACCATCATCTTCCTGCCACTGCTTATGAGGCGCACCTGGCCTGGCCCTCCATGAGGCAGCAGTTGGCTGCACCTCCCCTTATCCAAATCGCATGTGGCCTTGTCACAACGTTTGGAAGGGAAGTGCATGAAAGAACGCTCAGCTATGTTGGCGTGAAAGCATTCCAGACAAATAGTGGATGTGGCCTTGGGAAGAAGACTGGGGCAGCCAGCAGTTGTCTTGTGAAAGGTCAGGCTATGTGCATCTCATCAGCGGTCACAGGAAGATGATGGCAAATATCAGCTGGGTGTGGCAAGTCTGGGAAGGCCAGCGAGCACAGGCTGAGAGAAGTGACAGAGTGCAAGATGGCAGAGATGGGGGGGGAGAGATGAGTGGATGGGAGGAGATGAAAAGGAGGCGGTCCCTTAGCTTGCCAAGACTCAAGGCTGGGAGGGACTAAGCCAGGAGTGGTTTGGATCAAGATGGGTCCTTGGTTAAGAGCGGATGGGATTTAGTTAACAACAGCAAATTGGATTGCCTAGATTACGCATGCTTTACAACTGCATTGCTTAGCAACGACAATTCCAGTTCCAGTTGCCGTTGTAATTCGAAGCCTACCTGTACATGAAAATTCAAAATTAATCACTACAAGCAGCACTAAAGAGATATTACCTTGCAATGTTTCCAGACTTCTACTCCACTATGTTCCAACCCCTGAGTGCAGTTTGAACTGATCATAGAATCAAAATTTCTCAGCACCTATACAAAAAAAATAATTTATCAGACTGCAAGTAAAGCCTTTACTTACATTTAATTATGGTAACTTTCTTTGTCATTGATTAATATCACAGAACATTTAAGTCATAGCCTCACAAGCCTGAACTCCCAAATGCAATTTTTTCTCAAATTTATCCAGCTCCACAATTAAATTGACATTTGCCACAGAGCTATTGCCAAAGTTAATGAGAATTAAATCTGAATGTATTACATGTGTCATTCAAATTTCATAATCTCACTGTAAGACTAATATAGCCTAAAGCCACACTGTGACTTTCATGGTTAAATTGAGGTTGGAGATTAAATTCTCTTTACATCTATATTGTTTTCTAGCTACTACACCATACTAGATCTTACAATCAGAAATATGCCATAGACTTCAATCAAAAGGAAAGACAATGTGAAAAGGAAGAGATGGAGAAATTGAAAATGTCTGTCGGAATAAGCAGTAAATAAACAGATACCCATAAATGGACAAGAATATTATTAGCAAGTGCTTCTGAGTTTCCAAGAGAAAATAGTGTAGCTTGATTTTTAAAAGGAGGTTTAATTCTAATTATAATCAAGAAGTGAAAAAATAATGAGGTTTTAAAGATTTTTGTCAAATTATCAATATTTAAAAAATAAAAGCAAAATGTTAAGGCTCTCCATATGTTAAAAAACAAAGATTGTGCAATGCAGTGTGTGAATGATCCACTCCTGGTGTAAATATGGATACGGCAAACTGGTTCTGCCCTTTTCGTAAGGTTGTATTCTGCCTGTGGATGTTAGTTCCAAGAAGAACTGGTAGTACTATCAACTGTCACTTAGGAAGGTAAACAAGTGAGTGGCCCTTACCTCATTATAACGTATCAATAAGGACGTCTTGGAGCCTAATGTGGAAAGAATACCAGCTAATTCAACAGCTATGTATCCAGCACCAACAATAACACTTCGCCTAAGAAAATGGATTATACATCATATCACTCAGATGCATGTTCTCCTCCACAAATCTGCTCATTGAAATATGTATTAGCCACACCAGGAAGTCCAAACTTCTCCATATGTTATTGGATTCAAATCCCATCATCTTTTACCACTTACTATGCTGGGCTTAATGAAAGCAGTTAATTCAATAATACTTTTAATGCCTTTATTGCTTTCAATAATTCTTTTAATGATTCAATTATCAAGAATGTTTATGTTTGAATGATGTTCTCCCAATAAACGTTTGATTGCAGTGGTGTAAAAGTCTAACAAAGAAATGCCTAAAGGGCTATAGCTGTTTCTATCCAATTTATAACCTAAGCAATTAGATTTTGTATAGAAGGGTCCTGACTTAGCTTTCATTAAATCAGAAAGGATAAATGGTAATGGTTAAACCAACGCTGGGATAATTAGCAAAGAAGATTTGTATTTACATTTGTTCGAAAGGAAGGAATTACAAGAGAATAAGCAGGCACACAATAAGGAATACACATCAAAAGCAATGCAGTGCTGCCAGCACATAACTCACGGTATTCCCCATTATCTGTCTACTTATTCTCTTGGAATCCCTTCCAAGAGAAAGAAAAAGAGTCAGGCAGAGGAGAAATTGTCTAAAGAGATGGCTTATTTAGACAATCCACTCTGTTCAATTCAATCCATAGCTCGGTTCTTGGCTACACAGGCCTTCCGGAAAGGCCTCTGACTGCGAAATGCAGGCTGAGCTCCATTCTCAACTGAAGAATGAAGCTGCTCCTTTGGCCACAGAAGTGGGCCGGCTGGGCGGGGCTGTCGGGGCTGTCCCTGCGAGGTGAGTGGAAAAGACACCCCCCCTCTCCAAAAATAAGACTTGGTGCCTCTTTTGGAGGGAAAAAAAATAAGACCAGGTCTTATTTTCGGGGAAACACGGTATGCCCACATGTCTTACATTTAAAAGTAGACAAAAGGATCTTGGCTGGGAAAACAGCGCTTAAGTCTCCTCTTCCACTTTGAGGGATGGATGGGGAGTCCCACCACCACTGCCATGCCTTCCCACTTACAAATCCAGGCTTTTAGCAGATGTTGCCTGTTTTTTCTCAGGCCTAAAGAACCAGCCTTCTACAGCTGGCTCCTGGCTAATAGCATACACAGGATGGGTTTCTCAAATATTAGCAACAAAAATGAAAGGACTGTAAGGGTAGATGAATTCACTTGCCAGTTAATTGTGACCATGACCAAATAATAGTGGTAGAAAAGCCACAGTGCTTTACTTCATTTCCTGCTTTCCACTGTAAATAGCTTTCTGGTCACCAAATAGGCAAAAGTGAAAGAAAAAAATAGGATATTTTTAAAGCATTGCAGCCCCCTTCAGTTTCTTTATTGGAAGCCAGTACCTTCAATAGAAGCTTATTTTGTTTGTTGATAGGAATATTGACCATGAAGTTGACATTTCCACAAGTGAATAACAAAAGCAAACTAGCTGCACTGATGTCCAGTATCCACACAGAGGCCCAGATGCTTAGCAATGGGGTAACCCTTCAATGGGAGAATTTGTTTTTCTTGTTGTTGGTTTTATATCCTGGGTTTCCTTCCAGAGTTCAGGTTAGTGTGCACAATGTTCCTTCCTTCTATTTTTCCCCACATGTTTTCCTCTAATTTCCCCAGAGCAAACAGCACTTTCCTGCCCTAATCCTGTTTCAGTAGTGGGCTAGAAAGGAAACAGATATTCCCGCTGCAGAAGATAACACCTAGGAGGGTACATGATGAGTCCCATATCTGGGCTGATAAGAGGTGGTACAGGACCGGTCATGAACTCTGAAATGTGGGACAATTATTGCAGCTTTGTAGCTATACTAGCTTACTGTCTACATCTTTTAGTGGGGAGTGAAAGACTGGAGTACAATAATCCCTATTCGTTTTACAAAATAATCTCTGCTGCAATGCGGCAAACTGAGAACATTTAAAATGCTCAGAATTCATTGCAACTTACTTGGGCAACTCTTCAAGTTCAAAGAAGCCATCGCTAGAGATTCCCAAACTGGCTCCTGCAAAGCAACAAGACATTATCTTCAATATTCATAATCTTCAGCTTTGCGTATAAATAGACGTAACTTGCACAAACATTCACTTTTTCTGAAAGGTTATTTAATTATTTTTCTAAGTATACTATTAAAAAAGTATGAATGAACTATTACAAGGTAACTATGTACGACTGAATCTTTGACAATGCTAAGGAAAATATTCGAATGTCAGCTCAGCTGCACGTTCTTTCTTAAAAACTGGGCAAAGAGCATCATAGAACCCATACCTGGTATCTCACTTTCACTGGGAATTATAGGCCGTCCACCAGTAGCAATCAGTATGTGAGGTGCTGTATATTTTTTGCCATCAACTTCAATTGTGGGTTCAGGGTCAGCTGTGAACGATGCATGCCCACGAATGGTTTCCACGTGGTCCTAGCAAAACCAATTTTTGATTTAAAAATTAAATCAATTTATATACTAGAGAAAGGCATCTTATAATATAGTGTAATGTGGGCCAATGTGTGACACATTTAAATAATTTGAGCTTTTTGAATGATTCAAAATAAATTTGTAAATAAATTTCAAAAATGTAAGAGTGGACTAAGATGCATTATTTTACTTTAGATTATTCCCCCATATTGTCTTGACAAGAACTAATCTATTGTGTAATCCTTACACCTTTCAGAAACAAACTATATAAGTCACATGAAAATTATATCAAGACCATGAAAATTGTAGATTTGAAATGCAGACTAACTGCAATGAATTAAGACATACCCTATCAGTTTTTCTCAAGAGAGAGGGGTAAGACTTGTGCTTTTTCTTTAACTGTACTGTACTTATGTTAAATTTACACTACAGTTTTCATGTCTTTTCCAACAACAGGAAACTGAAATTTGTGTAGAGGAAGACTTGCTCATGTGTCACTTAAGCAAAAAAGCAAGTTTTACACAAATGATTTGCTCTGAATCTTTTTTTTTTTTTTTTTTTTAAATGCTATACACCTGGATGCAAATTTAAAAAAATTAACCAACACAGAACTTTCTGTTTTCAGCTTGTGAAATTCACGGGGTTCATAGCAGAAAGAAGAAATTTAAAATTCGCTGAAATTGAAAAATAAGGCCATTTACAAACCTTATTCAAATTATTTTGATAGATCTCATTCAGTTTCTTCACATAAGCATCACGCTTTTCTTTAATTATTCTATAGTAAAAAGAGTTTTATTAGTATCATATCCTACTTTTCCCCAAGAAGCACACAACGCCCCTTTTTCAACGTATCCCCACAAAAACAAACCTTTTGGGCAGGCTGGGTGGAGAGGCAGCCCAACCCAAGTACCCAATGGATTTCCACAGCTAAGCATAAAGTTGGGTTTCCCAAGCTTTATTCAAATTGTTATTCCACATGGACTTTCTAAATTTACATCTCAAATATCTATCTCTCTACAAACCGAATTAAAACACAATACTGCATAGGTATCTTTTCCCTAAGTAATAAACATAGATATTATGCAGAAAATTATAGTCCTGTTTCACAATTTAAAAAAGTTTTCCTTGCAGAAAAGATGTTTATACCATCCTATAGCACACTGTACATCAAACAAAATACCATTTGTTTGTTATACCTAAAACAGCATTTTAAACAATACAAATGGTGTATCTCAGTGCATATCACAGGGAACGCTACTGTCAGAGCGAACCCTAATATATGAACTATTAGTAGGCTCAGAATTAAATTCTGTGCATGTACTGTTTTGAATTTTCATGAGTCCCAGTCCAATCATGATTTCTTATAAGAATTTAAGAATAATGCTCACAGATAACTCAAAAATCAAAGTGAGATTATTTAGAATAAAAACAATGTCACTATATTAAACTGTGTAGCTTTAAATTATAAATGCTAGGCAGTTTTGGTCCATAACAGAGATTCTTCAGATCTGATAGAGCAGTGGTGGCAAACCTATGGCACGCGTGCCAGAGGCGGCACTCACAGCTCTCTCTATGGGCATGTGCACCATGCTCTGGAGATGGCAACCGTCCCTCTTCAACCAGCCGCCCGCTAACTCACTGAGATCCCACATGACCGGATGCATCTCAGCATGGCTGGTTTCCCTCCCCCTCCCGTCCCATCCCTCCTGGCCTCGCATGCTCTCCTTTTCCCAGGCATGACCCACTGCATCACCTCCTCAGCTGTTGGCCGTCCATCCAGCTCAGAGGCGGCTTCTCTGAACTGCTGGTGGTGGACTGTGGAGCCCCAGAGTGCGCCAGTCGAGGAGCTGGCAGGCTGTGGCTGCTGACGGACACTGTCGGCCCCCATGCGCTCGCTGGCCTCTGTGTGTGTGGGCCGATGGTTTCAGGCAGCAGCCGCCCCAGCCCCTTCCTCACCTTGCCCTGTGACAATGGCACCCCTGCCCTGCCTCACCTTGCCTCGCCTCACCCCGCAGGACGAGCCTCCTGCCCACCACTCCACCTGCCATAGACCCCCTGGATCTTCCCCAACCATGCCCGGCCCCCACAGGTGTCCCTCCCCATGAGCAACATCAAGGTGACCATGCTATCCTTGGCCAAACCCATCCAGTTTGCCATGACCACCACAGTCACGACCACCCAGTGGGCCACGCCCTCCTGGCACCCGGCGATATATAAGTGGGTTTTGGGTTGCAGTTTGGGCACTCAGTCTCTAAAAGGTTCACCACCACTGTGATAGAGTGTTGGAATCCCATACAATCCCACAGATAAAAATCTGGATATGTGTAAGTTTCAAATTAGAAACAATTCTATCCATTTATTTTACTTAAAGAGATATTCCAGAATTTAGCTCAACTTACTTCCAATTAAACTTCACATCAGCTATTTTAAAACCATAATCCACATGATCATGGATGAATTCATAATGAACAGCAGTATTCCACATCACCTGTTATGAAAGACAACATCCAGAGTTTAATATAAGTAATATAAAAATGAATGAGCAAATTCACTTATTCTTGTATACAAACATAAATCAATAATTTTATTCATTCATTCATCATATTGCCCATCTCCTCAAAGTGACTCTGCAGCAAGAGAGAAGTACAAAACTTGATGTTCCTACTCTAAGACATTGGACTGGACAGATCAGGATTCATAACTCATCACTGCCATGATATATGTAATCCAGTAGTTACACTACATATTACGGCCTATGAAGAAGAAACGAGCTTCTCGTTTTGTAATCATTGGCACTTGGCAAAACAATCATATTTTTCAATACCCAGCAGGCCAAACCACGTGTGGCTAATGCACCATGTTCAGTTGTGCCTAATTGAACATATATGGCCCTGGTCAACCAATTTATCAGTTCCCATCTTGGAGGAAGAGGAGGAGGGAATATGTGGTATCTTCTTTTAAGTTAAGCCTGATAAAAGGAACTTGAAATTTATCAACGTCTTTCAAAAACACAGCAAATACCATCAATATCAGAATACCATCTATTTTGACCCATGTAAACCATCTTAACCATAGAACATAAATTTATATGGCTGGAAGGCACCTTAAAGGTCTCTTGTCTAGACCTCTGCTCAAGGCAGAAGACTTTATATCATTTCAATCAAGTGGCTGTCCACTCTATTTTTGAAAACCTCCAGTGATGGAGCACCCACAACTCTGGGAGGCAAACTATGCCAACTAACCTTTCCCACTTCTGGTCTGTAAGACTGCTTATATTGGCAAATACAGTTTGGGGACATTTTTTTACTATTTAAAAATGGTATGTTTAATTAGCAGCCAACAGAAGGAAAGGCATCATCCAGCAGAGGACAGAAGCTAATGGGAGTTCCAAAAGGGCAGAATAGACAATCCCCGTTTATCAACTTTGCTGCAGCTGTTCCAAAACTGCAAAGGTCAAATAGGGGATGGGGGAAACAGATCAGTTTTTTTCAATTGGTACCAGTTTTAGAGTTTCTTTAAATCTTATTCTTATTTTTGTCCTTTCAGTACAATTACTGCATGCAATTTGGATTATGTTAGACCCGCTAGACTTCCATATGAAAATGGAGATTTAATAAATTATATTTTCTTTTCAACTTTAATGCTGTTCCACACATCTGCTCCTCAAACCAGGACTAAATTAAAAAAGCTATGAAAACAGCGGTAAAAGGCAGCAGACATTATCTTTCGTGACAAGAAGCACATCCATGTCTTCCTTGAACCTTGAGAGAAAAAAATTAGGAGGTACTTTTTGTGACTTGGTATTTTTGTTATGTATTTTGGTAAAGCAGGGTAAAAGAACAACACTGTTCTTCAGATGTCTTGCACTACAATTACCTTGCTTTCCAAACAACATGCCCAACATCTGCTAAAGTACTGTTTTGCATTCCAAATAAAGGATAGACATACCCATCAATAATGTAAAAGCACATTTTAGCAGATTTTGAGGGCTAGTGTCATGTTTTTCATGTTTTTATTATTTGTTTTTATTAAACACCCTTCTATGGCACCATAATCAAAACAATTCTGAGGCTCACTGCCCAATTTTAAAAAAGGCCTACAATACAAGGGAGAAAATAAAACATCAAATCAAATCAATTCAGGGCAAAGTTTTCCAAAACAGCTGGTTCTTCAAACATTTTCAAAAAATCAGTAAAGAAGTTCAATGTATTTTTTGAAATATTAGCAAATTCATAGCACACATAAATTCCTTTACCTTTTTAGGTACACATCCAACATTCACCTAAAAGAAAAAAAAACATATTTACTGCAAATTTCATGTATCAGCACTTTTAATATAAGCAAGTATGTTATTTAGAAAGTATGTACGACTACTAAAACCTTAATTTATTAATTTATGATTAATTTTATTTTCTTAATATCAGCAAAATGTGTATCAGTAATGTAGTATACTTAAGGTATTTTTCAAGAGGTGATTGCATGAAAGTGCTGTACACTGAAACCTGCCTCAGATGCCCAATATCTAAGGAATGAGGGAACATTTTATTTTCATTGCAATAAGCTCAGTGGATTAGAATGCCATTGGGAATATGGATAATCCTAATAATAAGAAACCACTTGAATCCTGCATTCATTAGCCTGAGATTAGTTCTTAATTTATTATAACAAATTTGAAGCACATTTCATTATTTATTTAGGTAGATATTGGGTTGGTCAGTATCTGGATAGGGGCTGCATGAGTACTCTGTCTTTCTAAGTACAGTACCTAGGAATAGTTTACATCTGATTAAAGTTTGCATGAAAAAGCGCCTTTTATCTGGCACTTTGAAAACAAAGACTCCCTGAATGATTTGCCTGCCCCTTGGTTTCTTCATGAAAAGAATCTTTGCTAGTTCTCAAAGCAAGCCATTTCATAACCCAGTCAACACATTCAACTGACATGTTCACAGATTCCACTGAATGCCTAAATTAGGGCATTCAGGATGTGTCTTTCATGGACATTTCATTCTAGTAAAATCTTTTCAACATTGGACTCCTCCAGATGTTGCAATCCTCCTTGATTAAGTGCCTGCAAATTGGCACTGGCTGTTAGCAACTACATAGATCTTCTCCACAATCAGCTCTCCCCAATCTGCTCTTTAAGGTCTTCCAACAGCACACCACCTTGCTGCTAATCAACCTTCTCTCTTTTCTTCCTCCTTTCCTAGAGTTATGTAATTTCACCATCTTCCAGAATTCCCAGCAAACACAAAGGATGGGAGCTACAGAAACTACAGTCTCACAACTTTTGAAGGGTTATTAAACTTTGGAAGGCTGCTCTATTTAATGACAGAAAACAGTTTAGAGGTACCGTAAGTTCTTTGAATATACATTCTAAACTTTATTCCTTATTTAGTCCCTTTCTCTGGAATTTTATTCACTCATATTTTGCATTCTTGCATCATTACCAAATCATCAATTTTAATATTGCCAACCATTCTTTCCACAACTAATTTGACATTTTTCTTCAACAAACTATAACTTCAATGCCAATAAGCACATGTTTAGTGTTTGGTCTGTTGAGTTTTTAAAATTAATTTCTTCAGGGACAATCTATTTTTTTTCTTTTTGTATAGCATGATGGGGGACTAGCAACTAATTATGTCATAGAGGTAGCTATAATTGCAACTAGGAAGAAATAAAGATTAACAGTTGGAAACATTCTATAAACACTATAATACAGAACAGCTTGTTACAATCAGAAAAGGACCTGTGGATAACGTTATGTTCCTCTAAAGCAGTGATGGCGAACCTTTTAGAGACTGAGTGCCCAAACTGCAACCCAAAACCCACTTATGCATCGTCAAGTGCCAGGTGGGTTTGCCCTATTGGCTAGGTGTGGCCATTTGGCTGGGTGTGGCCTATTGGCTGGGTGTGGCTGCAGTGGTAACGGCAGACTGGGTGGGACTAAAGAGTTCAATCAATCAATTCCAACTCTGCAAGATCTTTTTTTTTTCCCACGAGAAGTTGAAACTGACTGATTGAACTTTTTTTTTTTTTTGCACATGGTGGCGGAGACCTAAAGCGAAAAGGTTTTATAAAACCCAGCTGAAGGCCTAGGACTGGGGCGACTGCGCGCGTACCCACAGAGAGGGCTCTGAGTGCCACCTTTGGCACCCGTGCCATAGGTTCGCCACCACTGCTCTAAAGGCATCTCATTGACACAGAAGAGATAAATAAGAAATTATAATTAAAAATATCCTGTGCTTCCTGCTTGAGATATAGAAGGGTAAAGACAAGAAATATATGTAGGGGGGGACGTAAAGAGTAAAGCACTTCCTGAAATTTCGGTGAAAAGTGAATTGGCACATAAGTGATGGTTCTACTGAGTCATATTTCTCTTGCCTTGAAGGTTAGAAAAAAAAGAAAAAGAATATTGGATGCAAGATGACTTGGTATGTCGTAAGGCACGGAGTTGCAGCAACACAACCCTAACCCGGGCATAAGGAACAAAACCCAACTGCTGCATTCACATAACAGGCTGAAACGAAGGCTGCTTGGCTTTCCCACAACCACCTGAACCGCAGCCTTATTTTCGCACGGCACGAAAAGAGTTCACGAAAACCAAATAAAACATCGTTTCAACTTTTAACTCTTTCAGTCCTGCCCGCCCCATGGATGAAGAACATAAAACTTCTACGCCCCCGGGCTCTTGGGGAACGCCCTGCCTGGCATAAGCCCAGGCACCAGGTATGCAGGCGAGTCTCCTAAGGGTGTATTTGCAGGCAGCCCCCCTCCTTCCTCTTCCTTCGCCCACACCCCGTTTTCGACTCACGCAAGTGCCTCCGAGTCGCCCTTTTTCAACCACAGCAGTCCGGGCTCCCAGTTGCGCGGCGCGCCGGGCACTGGCCAACCCACCCGAGCCGCCCCCCAGCACCAGGTAGTCAAAAGTGGCGGCCGACGAGGAAGAGGCTCGAAGTTGGGCCATGGCGGAGGCGGCGGCGGCGGCGGCGGCGCTGCGAGAAGGACGGAAGGGAACTGGGCAGAAGGCAAAACGCGGGCGAGGCAGCCTCATCCCGCCTCTTCCCTCATCGGGGTCGAGAGGGTTAACTCTCCTGCCCTCGGCCGCGTCCCGTCTTACGCTACCTCGAGACGGGCAGAACTTTTCCGGCCTCTCGGATTGGCTGCGATATCAGTCAATCTCCAGCGGAGGCGAAAGAGAGAAACGAATTCCGCCTCGGAAGGAGGGCGTTTGCCCTCTTGCTGCTGGCCTCTCGCTCGGCTTGGTTTACGTGTTGCTACGTTCAAGGTTTTTGCTCGCGGCTGTCAGTGGCTTGAGTGGATGGGTGTAAGGATAAGCGCAAAGCCACCTTCTAACCAGAAATGGTTGCTTAGGGGGTCTCCCCTTCCTATAGCCAGATACTGAACTGCAGAGAAGGAGCACAATCACTTGCTGCCGGTGGGGAAAACCGATCAAAAGGAGACCCCGAATGTAGGGGATTCCGCAGCGAACAGCGGAAGATACAGTTTAGGCAACCCTGGTTTAGGCGCACGTATTGTGGAAACGCAGAAAGTTGAGTCAAGTAACCGCCTGGGTCGGGCAAACACAACATAATCCTTCTTTTGTATACTGTATTAACTTCGATCTTAGCCGAAAGGCAGGAAACCGTCTTATTTTTTTCAACTTCATCTAGACAGTCTTTGCCCACGACCTCATCGATTTTATTCCTGGCTATTACATACTCCAATTTCCCTAATTAGAGGTTTTTAATTGGATATAGCACAGATGAAGGCATGCACAATATACAGTATGGGGCGCATCAGCAGAGATTTCACACACAGGTTAAAGCAGGGCTTTTCAACTTTTTCACCCATTGTAGCACTTTTAGGATATGGCAACATCCGAGTACCACCAGTCGCCTAGCAAGGTGTCAAAAACTTCATGACCCAAAAAAAAAAAAAAGGAAAAAAGTGATGAAGTACAGGTAGTCCTCGACTTACAACAGTTCGCTTAGTGACTGTTCGAAGTTACAATGGCACTGAAAAAAGTGCCCCCCAAGCCACAGCCGAGCAAGACACCTGCTTGCCCACCGGGCGGCGCTCTTCCTCCTGTCCGAGGTTTCCATTGTTGTGAGCATTTCTGTTGAGGATTGGCAGCGGGGGTGGGGTGGGGGGTGTTTGGTTTTTAGTCCCCCATCTGCTGGGTGGTTGCAGCAGGTTTTGGTCACTTCACATGACCCTGGGACACTGTGACCGTCATAAATAGGAATCAGTTGCCAAGCATCTGAATGTAAATCACAAGACCCTGGAGATGCTGCAACATTCCAGCTGATCGGTGCTTCTTCTGGGCTCAGCAGAAGTGCCAGGATCAGTGCTGTTTTCCAGTTGATTGGTGCTTCTTCGGGGCTCAGCAGAAGCACCAGGATCAGTGCTGAGTTCCAGCTGGAGCCTGGCACTGATCCTGGAGCTTCCACTGAGCCCTGACAGCCCTGAAGCTCCAGTCATCTCTCACTCAGGCTTGTGCAGTGCTGCCACCGGTTCAGCTCATTCCCTTCCCCCACTACCACTTTTCTAGGATGTCGCATACCACCTGCCAGGTGCCAATGTACCACAGGTGGTACCCCTACCACTGGTTGAAAAGCCCTGGGTTAAAGTACTTTCCCTTCACTCCCAAAAGAAACTTCATTTCCTTCTACTTAAAAGCTTTTTGGATTAACTTTGTTTTGTTTTAAATCACTAGGTTACCTATCCTCATTCTCAAAATGGCAGGTAAAATGTCAAGTGACCTTTATTCATTGGGATTACATTAGAGTTACATTCTGCCTTTTGCTCAGAATCTCAAAGCAGTTTGTGGCTTGCTCCCATTTTTCTCTGGAACAACTGTGTGAGATATGTTGGGCTGAGAGACAGGGATTGCACTGTCTATCATGTATAACCCTATATTATGCAATCATTTCTGGTTTCCCCCCTCAATAGCTGCTAAAGGACAGAATTGCATAACCAGGTTTGGTTTACCTGGACCTCCCTTTGTTCTACACTCAATTCAGTGCATTTCTGTTAAGGGTTTCAGTGAATCAGTACCAGCCAATGACTCAGCAGGAAGAGGCCATGTGAAATTATACTGAGCTATATACACAGTGCACATTAGAGAGACTGTGTGGAAATAACCAATTACACAATGCAGTTTGTCCAGTAATACTAGAAACCAGCCACTGAATCTTCCCATTTTTAATAGGAAGGATGGTAAAAATTACTTCTCAAATTACTATCATATTCTAAATGCGTTCTAGGAAACTGTATTCCTCCCAGTTTCCAATATAAAATATGTTTTTCTTGTTGTTAGTGCTCAGTGAGAAATTATTCCCCAACTATACTGAGCCACCAAGCCCATAACAAAAATATTGATGACAGAAATGCATGCCAAATGCAGTAGGGCCCCTTTGAGAATATCCAGTTAATGTAATCACACAATTTTTCAAATTTAATTGCAATTTAAGCTCTTCATCAGGGACTCTAGGAATATCTATATTAGAAATTCTTGGTGTCTCGTCCAAGGCTCTCCAGTTCTCTGTTACGAAAAGTTAGCTGAAGAAAAACCATTTTTCCTTCTGCTGCTTGTGACTTTGCAAGAGGCAAATCTATTCATGTGGGCTTGGACTGACTGCTATTTCAGTGTCAGCCTCCAAAGTTGGGACACTCTTTTGAAGATCAGGAAATCTTAATTTATGATAATAAAATAATAACAGAACAACAGAGTTGGAAGAGACCTTGGAGGTCTTCTAGTCCAACCCCCTGCTCAGGCAGGAAACCCTATACCATTTCAGAGATAGGACAACCCTAGAAGATCTCCATGGTGCCTTCCAACTCTGTTATTCTGTTAATATTGGAAACTCTCCAGAATTGTAAAAGTGATAGGTGTTATTCCAAATCCAATGGCGCCTGAGCTGAGTGCTCTGCATTTTTTTAAAAAAAGAATAAAAGTTAGATCAGTGTTTCTTAACCTTAGCAATGTTAAGCTGCTCTGGATTTCAACTGCCAGAGTTTTCCAACCAGCATTCAACTCTGGGAGTTGAAGTCAAAAAACATCTTAAAGTTGCTGAGGTTGAGAAACATTAAAATACACATTTTAAAAATGGAATGGAAAATGGAAAGAAAATTTTCCTTATTCAAAGGAAAATTCACCTTTGAACAAATGAATATATGTGGGTTTTTTATAACCACAGTGACCAGCTGGCCATTTCACTGCAACTGTCAAACATATAAACAAATCAAAATATACCGTAGGTGTTATAGTTCATTATTAAAATATTTGTCTTTTTTGGGATTTTCTGTATCTTTGCCATTGTTGGATGGCAAAGTTTATTTTTGATTTATTTTTGAAATAAATGGCATAAATAGCAAACTTTGTTGTTCATTCAGATTCCATTTATGTATTAGTAGGAGTCACATGAGGCTCTTTAATGATATTTAGTGGGAAAATTTTACAATTTTTTTTAAAAAGGCAATTTTGCACAGAACTATATATGTAATAATTATTAGATGACCAAATGTCTTTTTGGCTTCTTAATCAGTGGAGAATTTAATCCTCTTAATCGGTCAGCATATTACTAGTAAAGGCTGCACTCTTTGTTGTGGAAATTGTTGCATACATTAAAGACTGAAGAATCTAAAACATATGTACCTATGGGGAACAGGATCTGATGAGTAGGTTGCAACTGATTAAATTGGGAGCACTACAGAGCTGAAAAACAAGACGTGGCAGAGGAGTTTTTTATTGTCAAATTTAGATAACATTTTATTCACTCATTTTTTCCAAAGAATAATAGAAAGCATAGGCTTGACATAGCAATCTAATTATGTTGTTAGTTAAATGCATGAAAGAATGGCAGTGATAATCAATCTTAGCAGCAGACCCATCAGTCTTCCTCATTCTTAGACCCTCTAAACACACAGCGTTACCATTTGCAGAAACTCCAACTTTAGCCATGCTGGCTAGGAATTATGGAGAGTTGTAGTCACCTCAGGAAGATACAATTTGAAAGAAGGTTGATGCATGGTTTGTGCTTGAGATGGATGACTTGAATCCAATCCTCTAGTGCAGGGGTTTCAAACTCACCACGTCACATGACGTGTCACAATGTATCATGACTTTTTTCCCCTTGCCGGAGCTGGGATGAGTGTGGCTTCCGTGTGACGCATCCGGCCCAAGGGTGGGCTGTTTGACACCCCTGTTCTAGTGATTCTTGAAAAGGGAAGAGGCTGTTGGCATATTAACAGCAGTTTCTGTTCCTTATCACCACCATATCATAGGTTCTTGTTTCTCTTTGATACTCCCCCACTTCCCCCACACACTTCCATGTAATTTCAGTAATCCTACAGTGTTGTGCTTGGCCCAATTTCATTTTTAGATCCTTATTATCCCTGTTATGTGTGCATTAGCCCTATATAATGTCTGTAACTGTTCTACCACAACTAATTTACTGTTTCCATGTTGTCTCAGAAATGTCTGTAGGATCTGATGCTTTCATCAAAATGACCAAAACAGTCTCCTCCTTTTGTGTTACATGTGCTCCTCTTTAGTACCTGCATGCAAAATCACAGTGTCTCTACAAAAGAGGTGGAGCTGATGGCATTGACCCTGTTTTGTCATTTTCCTTCCTTGGGCCTCCTTTTCAAGTCATCCATATTCTATTTATGTAGCATGATAGCCAGGACATATTGTGCAAATGGCTTATCATTTCATTTAAGCCTAAGGAAGTTTTCTGAAGTTTTCTTCACAGCAAGACAGGTGAGAAAATGGGGATCATGTACACTTTTGTCATTCTCCATTAGAAGATAAGCAAAGAAAGCAAAAGACTCCACAGCTATTGGCAATCTAGTGTCTTTATGGACAATTTGCGGTGTATCAGTTGACAAAAAATAAACATGCGATATCTATAAAGTTTATTAGAGACCAATTAGTGGCAGAACATGACTGGGATGCGGACTTTCTGCTGCCAAGGTATAAGCCAGATCTCAAAATTGCATGTGAACATCTGAGGGGGAGAAAGAACAAACAAAGGCATTAAATCAGACTAAAGAGAAAAGCCAGAAAATTGCCTTGACATCTTTACAATTCTATCATCAGCTGTTTAAAAGTTAGACAAGAAAATGTTGTATTCTTTTCAGTCAGCCTAGCAGTCAACGTGATAAGTGACTTATTGCAATGTCAGCTTATGAAATAACAGCTTTCAAAAGAATTTTTCCACCTAATTTATTCCAAGAATCATTAGGCGTCAGGTGGCATATACATTTAATAATAAATAAATATTGTACGACCAATAAATATTAGTAATGTATAATCCTTTTAATATATTTTAGAACAAGGGTCTTCAAACTTGGCCTTTTTATGACTTGTGGATTTCAAATCCCAGAATTCCTCAGCCAGGCACGCTGGCTGAAGAATTCTGGGATTTGAAGTCCACAAGTCATAACAGAGCCAAGTTTGAAGACCCCTGTTTTAGAAGGCTATCCCTTCTAAACAATTTGCCTTCATCTTCCTTTTGTATATTTGAGCACAATTTAATCCCTTCCACTGCAGTGACAGGATACTGCAATCAGAAGTAGTTCCAGAGTTGAAGAGGTCTCAGCAGAAAGCCTTCTATGATGTTCTTTTCAAACAGGTAGTCCTTGCTTACTGGCCATTTGTTCAGCAATACTTGGAGTTACATCCATGCTGAACTAGGAGGCTTCTGACCAGTCCTTAAAATTGTATCTGTCGCAGCCTCCACACAGGCATGTGATCATAATCTGGGTACTTGGCAACCAGTCCACATTTCAGACAGTTGCAGCATCCCCTGATCGTGTGGCCATCCCTGCTGGCTTCCTATAAGCAAAGTCAATGGGAAAACCGCAGGAAGTCACAAGACACGATCACGTGATTTCCTGGCATAAGAATTGCACTGTATTTGCTTAAGAACAGCAATTGGAAGTGCCGCAACTGCTATCATAAATTGGCATAGTCACATGATTTTCCAGCTTATGACCACATCACTTAGTGATGGAGTTGCCAGACCCAGTTACCATTTTAAGCAAGGACTTATATTATGCATTTCTCTGATTTGATTTACCTAACACCTGCTCATCCAAGTTTGTTGTTTTATTTATTATTTATAATGATTGCTCCCCCCTCCCAATTTTCCATCTAGCATCTTTTCACTGTGGGAAATTCAAAGCTGTTCCATGAAATCATTCTTTGTGTCATTTGGAGAATTTGGGGCAATTGCTGAGGTCGCTCAGCAAACCTATCCTGGAAGCAACACGGCTCCCTGAAACTTGGACAATGCAGATATAAGAAAGTGAAGCAAAAAATTTCTCGTGTTTGCTTACACTGTTCTAACAGCATGAAAAAGAGACCCCGAAGCCATTCAAGTTAGGAATTTGGCAAGAGATTGAGCAACACTGTCGTTTCTGCTCAATAGCAAGAACTAGAATTATTTGTCGACAGTAAGAAAGGCATGAGTATTCAAACTATTAGGGTGAATCCCATGCAAAATGAATTTATTGTGGAGAAGTACCGTAGCTCTTCCGTTGTTGCTACCAGTTGCCCTGTGTGAAATTCTGGACAACTGGTAGAAGGCAATAAGGAGAGACAGAAAACTCTTATCTTTGCTGCCATCTAATGGTTGTCCAGATTTTTATAGTCCAGATCTAGTACTCCTTCCCGCCCCTGATTTCTTCGAACCACAGAAAGAAGTTGAACATATTATACTTTTCTCAGTCTCCTGTTCTTCTGGAAATCACATCTGTCCAAGTTGGGATGCGGTATTCTTTTGCTGCATACAGTCCGGCGGATATCAACATCCAGTCTGTATTTCACTCCTTTCACAATCTAAAGAAATCCGTTTTCATAGTATTAAAGAGCACCGAGAACAGGCAAAGAAAACAGAGATCAAAGAGAGGTCAAAAAGTTGGGGGGGGGGGAAATGCTGATGAAACTGGAGGCAGCTGAGTACACACAATTCACAGAATGAACTGCAAATAGTTTGTGTAATTATTTTTAAAGATAATAATTTCAAAGGATACAGGCTACAATAGCAGAAAACAGAGTCTTGTCCATGCTAGGTACATTTCCTGGTTTCTACAAAAAGTACAGTACTCTAGCCAGGAATTGGAGAACTTCAGAACAAGTTTCTGGTTTTACATCAACCCGAAGCAACAGCAGTAAAAAAAAAAAGTACCGCTATCACTCTGGGTTTAACTGGTCATCAACATAGTTGTGGCAGCTGCCGGACCAAGACATAAAAAAAATAGCTTAGTTTCTTTCTTTAGCTTTCAGAAAGTCGGAAACAAGAACACAACCAATGGCTGAAGCAAGGGTGGTTTGAAGGAAACCTTCCATCTTGCCAAATGTGCAAGGAGAGTTTTGCACCAGTGAACACCATCCCTTCCTTATCTTTGTGGTTCTGTCCTTCCCCTGGAGACTTTTAAGACCTCAGGAAGAGCCCTGGACCATACATGGGGCTCCAATTACAAAAGAAAGAGGCCAATAGCATCTGAGCGTGGGGAGGGGGGGACTCTGCTGGAAGGAGATACCTGGATGGGTGAGGAGAAAAGGAAGAGGGTGCAGGTGAGAGGGTGTAGCAGCTGCTAGGAGAAAGAGCAGGGCGGTTGGTGGTAAAGAGGGTGCTGGGGTGGATTCCAGCACACCAACAGTGGGAAAACTGAAAACTGAAAAGGGAAGCAGAGCTGCTGTATGATTCCTCCCTTCTGAGTGTAAGATTGTGCAAAACTAATGCTTCAGTTGCACTCAGAATAACTACTAGCAGCAACAGAAGCCAACATTAAGGTAGCTATAGAATTTGTTACAGTATAGCCCAGGCAACAAAGGAGGAAAGAACAGTTTATAAGACTGTCTATGGCAGTGATGGAGAAACTTTTAGAGACCGAGTGCCCAAACTACAACCCAAAACCCACTTATGTATCGTTGGGTGCTGGGTGGCCATGGTCCATTGGCTGGGTGTGGCCCATTGGGTGGGTGTGGCCCATTGGGTGGGCGTGGCTGCGGTGGTAACGGCAGACTGGGTGGGACTAAAAAGTTCAATCAATCAATTCCAACTTTGCGAGATCTTTTTTTTCCCCGCGAGAAGTTGAAATTGATTGATTGATTGATTGAACCTTTTTTTTTTGCACATGGCAGCGGAGACCTAAAGTGAAAAGGTTGTATAAAACCCAGCTGCAGCCTAGGACTGGGGCTACGGCACAGGTGCCCACAGAGAGGGCTCTGGGTGCCACCTGTGGCATGCGTGCCATAGGTTCGCCACCACGGGTCTATGGAGATTCTCAATATTCCCGGTCATGGTTGTCTCAAAGGTCCTTTTTCAAAAGGCAACTGGACTTTCTTGGTTTTTTCCTTGAAAATGTTTCACTTCTCATCCGAGAAACTTGAACTGAGAAGTGAAACTTTTTTAAGGAAAAAAAAACAAGGAAGTCCAGTTGTCTTTCGAAAAACAACTTTAGGATAGGTTTATAGAACTCTTTAGGACTTAGAGTCATTGTATACATAGGCATAGATATATAGGCATAGCATTAGGACTTAGATTCCTAACACATAGGCAAATAGCATAGAATAGAATATAGAATATGTTTAGTGTTCAGGCTAAATTGAAAGTTAAGAAATAAACTGGTTAAGCTTTTTTTTTTGCATAATAAAAGCCTCCACAGAGAAGACAACTGTAACCTCCTTATCAGTGGCCTGTACCATTTCTCAATGGAAAAAAATAACCTTCCCACCATGACAAAAGCAAAAAAGCAGGTTATGATTTGCATTTTTCACCAGCAAAAGAAATTAACTGCATGTATTTGCCCGAAGAATCAAGCAGTACTTACTTGCCTTGTGGCTTTATTTATGTGAGATTCTTTAAACAAAAAGATATCGTTTGAACTGTTATTGTATCTATAAACCCCAAGCCTAGCAACTCTTTGAACTTCAGGGTCATTTGTCTTTACAGGGAAAGGAGATCCAGGTTGAATCAACGAATTAGGCAACTGCCCAAGGGTATCTGTGCAAGAATAACAATTTACAAATGGACAATTATTTTAAACTCTCAGTCTGGGAAGAAATATTTTATCAGATGATTTATTTCTTTTGATAGAATATCTTTCTTAATTCAAAGCATGCACGCACACACAACATACAGAGAGAGAGAGACACACACAAACATATAGTACCCATTGTGTCCTCTCAAAGTTCAGAGAGTACAGGTAGTCCTCGACTTACAACTGTAATTAAATCTAAAATTTATGTTGCTAAGTGAAACATTGAAGTGAATTTTGCCCAATTTTACGACCTTTCTGGCTACGGTTGTTAAGTGAATCATTGCAGTTGTTAAGTTAGGAATACGGTTGTTAAGTGAATCTGGCCTCCCCATTGTCTTTGCTTGTCATAAGGTCACAAAAGGTGATCACAAGACTCCAGGACACTGCAGTTGTCATAAATATGATCCAGCTTGTCAAGCATCTGAATTTTGATCGCATGACTATGGGAATGCTACAACGGTCATAAGTCATTTTTTCAGTGCCATTGTAACTTTGAAAAATAGTTGAGGACTATCTGTACACTTCCAGAAATCCTAAATCTTAGGGATGAATTACAAGGGCACACCCTCATTGTAAATCCCAAGCAACATATAGCAAGCCAAGAACTGAAACATGTCCAAATGCAACTATTTAATAGTTTTTTGCATTTAATGTGTGTGGAGTCTCCTATCTGCTCTTGAGAAGTCCAGAAACAAAATATTCTCCAATCTCATTGTGCTTTGAAAAGGTCTAGCCCTTCTCTAGACTGTCTTGAAAACTGATAGATTTTCCTTTTCTGCAGGCTGGATAGCATATATTGGGGTTATAGTGATTTCCTGCACTAGGCTGGGATTTGGGCTAGATGTCTTCCCACCTTTGGAATGTTTGGTCAATGACAAAAATTAATAGTAGAAGAACTATGGGAAGAAAATATGAAGAAATTTAGTAACAAATTATGGGTCAGTCTTTCAGTTATACTTCTGCCTTATACCGTGTGGTGGTATTTGCAGAACACAATAGTAACCCCTGGTTTACAGAATGAAAGCCATTGTCTGGTTTTCAACAACTCTCAACCATAAACTAATCACCTTTGCTAAGTTAAAATAGCACACTGAACTATAATGTAGTTACTTTGTGGTTCAGTTTGCCTGTGAACACAGTATTAGACCATAAACAAGCCACTTATCTGCCTGTTTTGCTCGTTATTATCAGTAAAACATACTTGCAGCTGAAAACACTGTAAAAGTTTTTAGCGGGTAGCTCACTCAAGTATCGATTTGCATCAGGATTTACTGTGTTTCCTCTTCCCCTGGAAAATGTCACTTATCCCCATAAATTAACTATCCCTTCTTAACATTAAAACAGTTTAAATATCAGTGCTACATTCTATTTCTAATGTAGCTTCATTTAATTGTACATTAAACAAAAACTGCAATGGAAGGAGCAAGATAGCAATTTATCAAGCCCCAGATGATTTTTAAGCTTCATGCCTCTGCTTTTTTGGTGCATTCTCGTCTGATGGCTTATTTAATTGGTTTTGTCGGTGACTGTACAAAATGAGCAATAAAAACAAAATGCTGCGCTTTGCTGGCAGGAAGAATTAGATATCATCATAATAACATAACAATAACCACAGCACAGCAATATGAGCAATGAGAGCCTTCTAGTTGGGAGTCTCCTATGTTGCAAAGGTACTCATCAAGTTGTCACACTCTTTTAAAATAAATTTGTTGGGGAAAAAAACAATCCACCTGTTTGAAGGACATTTTGCAATGGCCTGGCTTTGAAAATGGAATTATTCAACTGATTGCTATCATAAGCTAACAACCCACCCCATATTAAATAGCACTAGGAAGGTCAACATTCCCTTTGTTATGCAAACTATTCAGAATATTCAAGGTACATCCTGATCTTACCAGTTGAAGAGTTGGGCACACCATAGAGAAGAAAGCCAAGAGTAATCAATCTCCATCCAAAGAACATTGTCATCTTGCTTTACCATAAACAGAATTGAAGCAAAGTGGCAATTTGTACCTTCACCAAAGACAGGAAATGGGGGTTTTCACTGTCTCTTCAGAGATTCTCATTGGTCAGGAACAGCCTGTTTTTTTAAAAAGATATAACTTCTGTTAGCTTTTTTTTTCATAACTTTGATTAACAATTTTACTAGGTAGGTTTTAGAAAAGAGTAAAACAAATGCACAGCTGAATAATTTGCCTCCAATGATGGTGATCTATTTGTGCTGGATATTATGAGCTGGCAGATAAGTATCCCACTTAAGAAGTATAAAAAATAAGGACACTTTTAGGGAAGCTGTTAGGAGTGCATTGGCAATTTGTGTGAGATTTCCTAACTTCTGCAGAACTGCCTTTGTAAAATCCATATGTTTTTTTCAGAGCATAAAAGGAACTGGTAGACATTTGTAATAGACAGTTGCAAAACTTGGTTTGTTGGTTTGAATGATACCCTGCCTTTCCTACAGGAGCTGAAAATGACATTCATTTCCCCCCAGAAATACAATCCTATGTGATAGGTTGAGATGAAGGACAATGAATTCACCTATTCACAGACTACTAGAAAATTATCCCACTGGCCTTAATGTTTCTAGATTTCTGCCAGCCAGCTGACATCTTCCCAAGGAAGTGAGTGAGCTTAAGAGATTTTATATATTTGAGGCTGGTTTTGGAAATACTCATTAGCAAAGGAATGGTCAATGTAGTCTCTTGAAGTAAAGGAGGAGGAGGAGGAGGTGTCAAACTCACAGGGGTGTCAAACTCACAACGTCACGTCACGTTGCGACGTATCGCAACTTTTTTTCCATTGCCAGCAATGGGGTGGGCGTGGTTTCGCCATGACGCATCCAGCCTGTAGGCCGGCAGTTTGACACCCCTGCTACACAGCTAGTCCTCAACTTACAACAGTTCATTTTGTGACTGTTCAAAGTTACAGTAGCACTGAAAAAAGTGTCTCATGACCTTTTTTCACACGTACGACCTTTGTAGCATCTCCATGATCATGTGATCAAAATTCGGATACTTGGCAACTGACTCATATTTATGACCGTTGCTGTGTTCCAAGGTCATGTGATCACCTTTTGCAACCTTTTGACAAGCAAAATCAATAGGGAAGCCAGATTCACTTAACAACCGTGTTACTAACTTATCAAGTGTGATGATTCACTTAACAACTGTGGCAGGAAAGATCGTAAAATGGGGCAAAACTCACTTAACAAATGTCTCACTTAACAACAGAATTTTTGGGCTCAATTGTGGTCATATGTCGAGGGCTACCTGTACCCTTTGAACAGTCAGCAAATTTGTTATGGCATAAACTTCTACAGTACAGTCTGCTTTACTGGGCAAGTGAAATATTTTGCAGACTTTATAAAGATACAAGGGGAAAATGATAATATAAGTATTTAGCTAACAATTCAGTTACTTTTAAATAGATTTCAAATTGGTCCCTCTGTTCATTTTACATATATTTAAGGTTTTAATTTTATTGTATTTTGGCATTCATCATCATCATCTAACTCCATCATCATCTCCTCTCCTGAACCATGCAAGGATGACCACTGGATGCACTTATCTAGTGCATGAAAACTAATACCAGCCTTCCCTAACTGGGTGCCAGAAATGCTTAGCTCACAACTACCAGAATGTAAGTCAGCCTAGTTTAGATGATGATAGATCCTAGAGCAGGGTTCTTCAAACTTGGTCCTTTTATGACTTGTGGACTTCAATTCCCAGAATTCCTCAGCCAGGCACGCTGAGGCACGCTGTCCTAGAAGGAACTAAATTGGGGAAGAGGAATGTATGCCATAGTACATTTGTTAATTTTAACAGGTTACCACACTTTTGCCTCTGCTAAATTACAGGAACTAATGGTATCAGTTGACTCTGATAAAGTTGTAATGAGAAACATTAGGCAGCATGAATTCCCTGTAAAATAAGCCTATCGTGGGGACATAGCCCTTCAATTGTTGTTGTTGTTGAATAATAACCCCTTACATATCCCCATACTTTTAGCATTACCACCTGCATGGTGATATTGTTTGGTATTTGTAATATTTTGCCAGTAACAGTGGCTGAAATCTTCAGAGGGGAAAGAAAGGTCTACTCTGTAGTGCATTTCTTGGCAGACATCTGAACAGGACTGAACTTTAATGCTTATTAAGAACTATCGTCCAATTGGACTAAGTAATTGGAATTATGGACAGCCAGTTGCTGATTGGTTCTTCATCCAGGCGAATTTGTAATTGGTCTGATTCAAAGACGTTCCAAAGGAACCAATTTTTGATTGGTCTTTGAAGCTGTTTGCTGTTTTTTAGGTGAGACTACTGAAGATTCTATATGACATTGATTAATTAAATGCTGTTTTATTATGGTGTGATATAAACCAGATTTTATCAATTTTCCAAGTCTTTTCCTTCATGTTAAAGTTATTGAGATGTTTACAACAGTTCACTTAGTGACCATTCAAAGTTACAACAGAACTGAAAAAGTGACTTATGACCGTTTTTCGCACTTATGACTATTACAGCATCCCTATATTATGTGATCAACATTCAGATGCTTGGCAACTGACATATTTATGACAGTTTCAGTATCCCAGGGGCCACCTTTCGCACATTCTGGCAAGCAAAGTCAAGGGGTTAAGCCAGAGTCACTTAACTACTATGTTACTAATTTAAAAACTGCAATGATTCGCTTGGCAACTGTGGCAAGATAGTTTGTTAAATGGGGCAAAATTCACTTAACAAATGTCTCACTTAGCAACATTAATTTTGGGCTCAATTGTGGTCATAAGTCAAGGACTATTTGGCATTGTGCATGATTTGTCATAATTACTAATGTTTGTGTATCTTTAAACTTATTTCCTCAGAGTTCCCATTATCCTTTAAAATCCTGTCATGATATTTTACTCATCAGATCAACTTTTAGCCTCACAAATAGATTGAATATGATTGGTGAAAATTTTAATGATACTTCTTTTCTGGCAAGGATGAGTGTAAGACCTTTTATTTCAATAGTGATTTGTATGTGTTGGTTTACAATATACTCTGTCTCAGCTTTTTTTTTTTCCTTTTAATGATTGCAATGTCTAAAAAAGCAGGTTGGCATTTTTTTATCCTCTTCCAGGGCAAATGGAATATTTGGCTGGGTGTTATTAAGGTGCTCTAGACTTTTCTTGAGTTCTTCCTCACTATAACTCCAAAACATAAAGGTATCATCCACATGGCAAAACCAGATGGTTTCAAAAGTGCGATGTCTGGTGGACGTTGCTCAATTTTGGATATAGAAATTGGCTATAACTGGACTCTATGGGCTGCCATGGCAACCCTTTCAATTTGTTCACAGAATTCATTGTTAAACAGAGGTGTAACTAAATAGGCCATATTTAATTCAAATATTTAACTATATTTGAGTGCCACTCCTGATTTTCTGATAAGGAAATTAAATACAAAGTTGGCAACTGTAAGAAGAGTCCTTTATTTGACTGAACAATGTAATGCTTAATGATTAGTGCCAGAAATCAAGTTTTTCAGGCTATAGGAACTTATGTGAAACCATACCTTATGTGAAACCAGACTATAGGAACTTATGTGAAACCATACTGAAATCCTACACATACAGAAAGATGTTATTGTAGTCAATTATTACCCTAGCATAAGGCAAAATGTTGAAGTGGAATATGGAGAAAAATAACTGGAAACTCCTCAGTTGTGTGAATCAAATCTACGCTGAATGGAAAAATAAGATTTTAGCCTGGAAAATAAATATGGATATGGCATCCAAACACAGTAAACATCATCCTCCAAAGCCTAGTGTTAGTCTTCAAAGTATTATTTAATTATGCATAATAGAAAACTTAGTTTCCAGTAATGATAACTATTTTTTTCCAATCTTGCAAATCTGGGCTGAGACATACAGGTACATATTGTAAGTGTGCATAATATGTTTCTCCATTTTCAATGAAAAGGACTCCTGCACTGGGCAGGGGTTTGGACTAGTCACTAGAAGATCTCCAAGATCCCTTCCAGCCAATTCTATCATTGTTTTAAACATCTCCCTCCCCGTTGCCCTGCTGATCATACCTGATCATACCTCCCTAACTAACCCAGCATTTGTTGGGGACTGGGTGGGTCAGTGGGGTAGAACCAGGACCTTCCATGTTTTAGTTCTCTTTTAGCCCTCTACCGTTTATTTTTTTTAGTATCTGGAGTTTTACTTCTCCTTTACCTTCTCCACTTCCTCAGGGACGTATCTGGATGTTTGAAACTGGCATGCACCAGCTGAGCTATTCATTTGACATGGTTTTGCAGCTGAAAAGATGGATATTTCATTTTCCATTTCAGGCTCTGCCCAGAAATTCTACTGAAAAAAAAATGCAAGAATTTTTTGCATGATGAGAAAATGAGAGGTCCTACTAGGTAGCATTTTTAAAGGAGAAGGAAAATAAAATTTCCAAACATTCACCTACAGAAATTGTTGGAATAAAAGAACGACCTGTTCCTTTGATTATTGTAGTAACCAGGGCTTTTTTTGTCATAGAACTCACCGGAACAGAGTTCCGGCACCTTTTTTTGATGGATTTTCCAGAGTTGCGTTCTTTTCCTATTGTTTCCCTTCCTATCCTCCTTTGTTTTTGAAAATGCCCCCTGGCGGTACGATGTGAGTGGGGTCCCCTCCTGCTCTGTCTGCCTCCTCTAGGAGGAGCCATGAGGCGCCGGAGCACCACAGCCAGAGTGTGGCTTGATTGGCTGGGTCGGACCATGTGGTGTGGAAGCCGATGGTGGCAGTGGGAGACACATAAACATGGAGGCCATCTTTCACGAGAGGGTGAGTGAGCCTTTGCCTTCCCTTACAGAAGGTGGGGTGTGAGGTTAAAAAGAGGTGAAGCGAGAAGAAAGAAAGGCGGCTGGCGTGGAAGTTTGCCCGACAGCGAAACTTTGCTGTTTCGGTTCCTTGGGTAGTTCAAAGGCTGGGATGTCTATGAAAATCT